ACCATTCAGCTCTCCCCAACAGCTTCAAAGGGAAATTGCCAATTCATCTATTTTCACAACTAAAATGATAGGTTCAGCGGTGAATTCTGCTAAAACACATACTTCTTTTTTTTTTTTTTTTTTTAATGTGGAAAGATATTTTGAAAGATCATTTCCGTTTCCGGCAAATGTCCCTTTTTCTCAGGAAATCAGTTAAAAAAGACACTGTATTAAGGCCAAAAAAAGCCAAATCACTGGATTTATTTTTAGGTCTGTTTATCAGGTGATAGAAAAACACCTTGAAAGTCAAAATTCTTTTAATTTAGTGAAATCTGGACAAAGCTTTTGAATATTCACTGCAAATACATAAAGCTTTTACTTCAGCTCTGCTTCTACTGTGCCTTGACATTAGCCTATGGCTATGGAGAATATGGAAGCTTATAAACAGATTAGCTCTCAGAGACTGTTTTTATTTCCAGTAAGAAACAAAATTGGCAGCATGACCACATTTAGCATCAGATGAGCATGCCTTTTATGTTCTTTGAATATAATATGATTTTGTTTATTTTTCCAGCCTTTTGCAAAATGTTTTATTCCATAGATCAATGACTGACATAACATATGACTCAAGATGGAAATTTCCCCCACATAATGTGGGAGAAGTGGCTCAAAGATGACTGCATTTTTGTTTCGCTCTACACTCCAGCCACTGTTCAATGCAGCGTAAAGCCTCCTTGACATGGTTCTGCCCTGAGGAGATCCCTCCTTTGTGAGCATCCGTGCTGCTTTATACAGGTGGGAAGTAGCGCTCTTAGACCTCGCCTATTGCTATGCTAAGAGTCCACCTGTACTCCCAGAGTACAAAACAGCTTTTATAAAGCCTACTTATCACTTAGGAGAGTTAAATGGGATCTCAAAGTTTCCTTTACAGACCAAGGAAGAAAATCGAGGACTACTTTTTCCAAGGACCAGAAGTTAACCCATCCGTTTCAGTGGAAGGTCCAGCAGGGGCCACCTTTATGCTTTCCTCTCTCAGGGCTCCTAAACACTACTACAAGTAAGTAGATAGCAGCAATACCATTTTCACTAGAAAAGCTTTTTCAACATCAGTTAAGAAACACAAACACATCAGAGAACAGTTGCTGCTGGCTAACCTTTGCCCCTGAGCCCATGCACTAGCCCGAAGCCTGGAGTGCCCACACCACTCACCACAAGTGACAAGCTGTGGAAGAGAGACAAGTCCTTGCTGGGGGGCTGCCCCACTGTCAGCCTGTCCCACGCACCAGTCCTGGGGGCACAGGAGCCCCTGCACAAGCCCCATATTGTCACTCAAACTGGTGGCGCATGGGAGTTGAGGCGAGGGGGAAATTTGCTAAGTGAGTTGCCTCACTCCTGAACAATACTCAAGTTGCAGGCTTGTCTATGAGTGAGATGTAAATAAACAACATTTGCTCCCAAATTAGCCAGAGAAGAATAAACATTTTAAGACCTTTTGGCTGTCCTAAGAGAGAATGAGAGGCCTTGCTATACATCTGAAGAATTAAATTGTCTTAATTGCATCCTTGTGCAAAATAAAGCATTACATACAGAAGAAAAATATTTTTAAGTGGATGGAAAAATCCACTGGGTTAAAGGAATACTACTGTCAAGTTAAATGTGTCCCTGCGTTTGTGTGGTGCAAAAACAAGCTTTAATAAAACTGAAGAGTCTAATAGGAACATTTCCATGAATTTAAAAATAACAGCAATGGAAACAGCCTCATAAAATAAGTAAACCTCTCCCTTCAGTATTTGCAACTCAAGTATTACAGTATTAATTTAGGGCCTGGGAATGTGAAAGTAACTATAAATTATGAATTAAGTGCTTTGTTCTACAACACGACAGGTCAGGTTTTAAATTCCTTGTCTAGCCATGGCTCCTGTCATTTTGGTACCACTGCCGGGATGCAGAATTTAGCCCAGTTTAAAGACTGTGGAGAAATAACCTGAAGGATTCCAGTGGCCCGTAGTAGATACACAGAAGGATGCCTGGCTTGCAAGGAAGGCTTCTTTGGCATAAGACTTCGTAACTACTCCAGGCTGTTTTCTTAATCATTAAAAATGCTCTAAATATATTAGTTATGGATAACTTGACACTGGTCTTATAAAGGAAGATCAGGACATCCAAAGTTCACCCAAAGGTGGTGGTACCAGGGCCCCGTGAGTGTGCCCATTACACTGCCCTACCGTCCAGACTGGTTGCCCTCCCAGAGCACTGCCTTCAGGCTGGGTTAACTGGGGACGACTCGCTTGGAGACCAGTCTGTGTTAAGACTTGGTCCATGCCAACTCAGAACAAGGTAAGGTACTTCCATTTATGTGACTCGGAGTCAGCTTCTTCCTCTAAATCATGTTTTCAGTAGCTTCTTCCATCTCCAGCTTTTGTTCTTCCAAACTGCTGCCAGGAACACTGCTTTGCCCCTCTTCCCTAACGTGCAGACCATGCTCCTGCCCATCTCACTAGCAGAATTGCTTGAGAGTCCTCATCACTCTCAGCGCTGGGCCATGCTCATCTGAATTTGCCAAATGTCTTTACACCTGCTCTAGGATGGTTTTCAACCAAAAAGGAATATGCTGGCATTAAAGCATCATGAAACAGAAAAAGAAATAAATCCCAAGGCCTAAATTGATTTACATTGTTTATTTGGGACTTGTTGATAGACTTAACTTAACTTTGTAAGTAGCCGTAATAGGATGTGATTAGTTAAGATCTGAGCGAGGTATAACAGGATCACGATTCACTGAAGGTCAGAACTGCATACAGAAGATTAAAACCAAAATACCACCAGATTGCTTTGGGACCTGTAGGAACTGATCCTGCCAGGATATGTTTTCTGTTTCCATGCTTCTGAAAAACAAGGCAGACAGCGTGTCCTTAAAATCTCTTTGTCTTTCCTAATTTCCCAGACGTGTTCCAAAATCTGGGTATAGGAAGAATTTTCTTTTTTTTTTTTTCTAAAAAAAAGGCAGCAAAGTTCATTCATGCTCCAATAAAGTCTTCTGACAAGGCTGTTAAGCTGTTAAATTATACAGGGCAGATCTTGTGCGATGGGAAGTTACTTGGCAAAGACTCTGTAGATGAAACAATCTACAAGAACTTGCTCATAAATAGACCTGGAAACCCTGCATCCAAACTTCCTTCCTCATTTACTGTACAACAAACTGCCCAGACAAATTAAAATGTATTCTGCCTCTTATCATTAGGCCTCAGAGAGCAGCTGGTCAATTCCATTGCCTCTGGATGCATATCCTGTGGACTGATCCCCACTCACCTGGTCAGCAAAAACCTCAGTGGTTTCTTCCAGCAGGAAGAAAAATTCCTTGACAGGAGGGAAGGAGGAGAAAAGCCCAAGCTTTACTGTTCTTCTGGATCGAGAGCAGCCCTGAGGACACGGACCTGGGGGTGCTGATCAATGAGAAGCTCAACACAAGCCAGCAATGTGCGATCACAGCCCAGAAGGCCAACCATATCCTGGGCTGCATCAAAAGAAGTGTGGCCAGCAGGTCAAGGGAGGTGATTCTGCCCCTCTACTCCACTCTCGTGAGACCCCACCTGGAGTACTGCGTACAGCTCTGGAGCCCCCAGCACAGGAAATACATGGACGTGTTGGAGCGGGTCCAGAGGAGGGCCACGAGGATGATCTGAGGGCGGGAGCACTTCTTCTATGAGGAGAGGCTGAGAGAGTTGGGGCTGTTCAGCCTGGAGAAGAGAAAGCTCCAGGGAGACCTTACAGCCGCCTTCCAGTACTTAAAGGGGGCCTACAGGAAAGATGGGGAGGGACTCTTTTATCAGGGAGTGTAGCAATAGGATCAGGGATAACCATTTTAAACCAAAAGAGGGTAGATTTAGATTAGATATTAGGAAGAAATTTTTCACTGTGAGGGTGGTGAAGCACCGGAACAGGTTGCCCAGAGAAGCTGTGGATGCCCCATCCCTGGAGGTGTTCAAGGCCAGGCTGGATGGAGTTTTGAACAACCTGGTCTAGTGGAAGGTGTCCCTGCCCACGGCAGGGGGTTGGAACTAGGTGATCTTTAAGGTCCCTTCCAACCTAAACAATTCTATGATTCTATGATTCTATAAAATCTAGTCATCATTGGTGCTACAATTACAGCTGGCAAAGAACTAGGGACAGGAGTGTCGAAGCTGCCCCCATTAGGTGCAGAAAAGCCAGTAGAAAGCAAACGAGCCTGCTGGATGGCACAAGCTGGAAGGAGTGCAGTGGGGAGTTCATCTTGACCAGAAAAGACCTGCAAGCTTCAATACCCCCTTGGGCATACGGTGGTCAGAGAAAAGGTGCCTATGACACTCCACCTAAGAGTAAAAAACTTCAGTGAAACAAGATTACCTAGATCTAGAGCATAGCACAAAGACTGAGCAGGCGCCAGGTTGTCTCCCCGTTTATTAGTGGAGACAAACATGGATAACTTGGAAGTTGTCTCATTTTTTTAGGCCCCTTCTCGGTCTGTTTGCTACCTCTGCCTATCTTCTGGTCACTTTTCTGCTGCGTGTCTTACTGAGAACTCCCCAGCCATGCTATGCTAACAGATGGCATACGTACATGGTGCCTGTCTCCTTGCGAAACCACATTAAATAGTGGAGAAACCCTCACAGGCACACTAGGTTCCTGTTACTTCCACTTAGGGCCAGTTTCAAAGGCAGACTAAGGTGGCAGCCATCTATCCTAGGAAGAAATGGTATGTGCTAAAACTTTTATAAATGTGAAATTAGCCACCTGCAATAACTGTTGTAAAATTGTTAAATTAGTAACAGTGATTATTCTCATTTCTTGCTGGGATATCAGGGAACTAGCATGGAACAGCAGTAAAAAAGGCTCCTACATAGTCCAGAAAATAGGTTAAACCAAGTGTTGCTCCCGCAATGAAACGAGAAACCTTGCTGAACTCACTGCAGGGCCTCCTGCTTGCAAGGACTTTAAGTGTCACCCTATATCCCCACTGGAATAGTACAAAAGCGAACAGGAAAGAGAGATCCATTTTTTAATGCCTGCTAAAAATTAATCTGGCATGAAAAGAATTACAAGTCACAAGATGCCACAGAAAACTGGAATGTTTAAGCTTAATAAAACCACACTTCCCAACCCCATTTTTTCCAGTTTGAGGCGTCAGATCTTCAACATACGTTTCAGTGATTCCTCTTTAATTAATTTAACAAAGTACTTGAAAGCCCCCAATCAACAGCAAAGCTTCACTCAAGCATGTACTGTATCACAGAAGGATCCACTTCTTCTGCCATCAGACCGGCTTGCAGACTTTGGATTGTTGCTTTTGTCCCCAAACGCTGTCTCCACAGGACAAACGCAGCTACGATCTGCGACTGCAGGTTGTGAGGGTGATTGACTTTACATCGATAGATGTCAGTATGGGACAAACCCAAGCACAGAACTATATGCTCCCATTCGGGTCCCAGTCTCCTCGCAAGCTTGTTCAGCTGCTGATCTGTTGGTGAAGTCTTCAAAATGCGTGGTGCGATTTCAGATACATCTGTAAAAAAAAAAAAAAGAAAAAGAAAAAAGAAAATGCATACACATCTCACTAGGTAATGCTGTAAATATTAACGTAAGACCTTGACAAAAGAGGGAATAAGCAAAGCTGAGGTGAAAGAATTCATTAAAGAAACAGAATACATACTCACCTAGAAAAATTAACTACATAATCAACCAGAAGATTAATTAGAGGAAAACTAATGCTCAGTGGGCTACACTAGGGAGCCTTGAAGTTTTGCATGTCAATAATCCAGATATGAGAATTCTACTCTAAAGCCAAGACTTCCAAAACTAATTATAGATTTTGGAGAACATGTTTTCAGCAGCCATCACCCTCCAAAAATCAATCTGCTTGCACCAGTACGATATAGTGACAAATGACAAACATGGGACCAATAACACCTTATTACTCCTATTCTGTGACTGTTTATACACTTCAGAAATAACTTTGATTCCTTAGTTACTAGGTATTACTGTTCTTTTTTTGCTGAGAGCTCTTCACAGGAAGTTCTTCTGTCTCCTAAGATGCTACTTACCCTCTGTGCCCTGCCATATATGGCAAACTCGTCTTGAAGAGACCAGCTTTGGGGGCTTTTCTTCTACTTGAACGAACCCATAAGCATGGTTCAGGTGAACCCAAATGAACAGGGCATCAACACTGTTCCCCAGTACAAATTATGCTTCCTTATCCCTCATCCCTGAACACTCCTGAAAATGGGCATGTATGTGCTACAGCCCCATTCATCTGGCTCCTTGAAGCCATTTTCAGGAGAGTGCAAGGAAGTCTCGTGTTCTCTCAGAGATTTCTGCCCTATGTCCCTTAGTATTGCCCAAGTACCCAACGTGCCCCAGAATGCAGTCTTCATTCAAGATGTTTAGCATCAAACTGGTACCTGAGTCATGAAGGACAGGATCAATACAACTACCAAACCAGCTTTCACAGGAAGCAATTAAGGTAGCTGTAATTATCAGCCGTAAAAATCTCTAAGGGAGCAAACCAAGTATTTCTTATAAACACAAGTGATATCTTTGTCTATTCCCTATGGTAATCTGATCATTAAAAAAAAAAAAAAAGCAAACAGTGTTAATAGCAGAGTGAGAATACAGTGCTATTCAGAAACAAGCTGTATGGGATCCATCTCTCCTAACTACAGATAGCCTTTCCTGAACTAATTATACCAGGATTAATTATCGCTTAGGAGAGAAATAGACTCTTCTAGAATACAATCCCTCTCACTGGAAAAAAGATGTCTAAAATAATCAAATGAATCACTCCTCTAAACGTGCACATTTCTCTCCATTGACTGTAAAAGGAGTGCTGGGTATAAGCTCAGATGTTGACATTGACACTGTAAACACCCAGTGCTGGTGAAATGATTCTCTGCCTGTAAATTCAAACCACATACCAGTTGCTTTAAAAAGGTGTATTTAGAAAAGCAGCATAAGATATCTATAAAGCATATTTGCTCTTCGATACCCTTTGCGGTCACAAGCTGAAACAAAGGGTCGACGCAGCCTGCAATTGCTGCTCTACTTTTGTCGCTGAAGATACTGCATCAAAACAGAGCAAAAATATCCCCAAGAAAACGCTAATTATAGCCTGTCAGTCTGAAGCAGCAGACTCCCTACAGAAGAGCTGCTTTGCAAGATCTAATTTATAGCTCCAATATCATGCTCGCAGTCTCCACTACAGCAGAACAGCAACACTAGAAAGCACCACTCCTTCATTTTATCAAAAGTAATTGTTTTTGCATAGAATACCCAGAGCCTGCAAACGTTTGTACAATTTAAGCCCAATCATACATAAGTACTATACAAAGCTGCTTTGAGTAAAGGGAAAATTGCTTTCTGAAGAGTATTTAGGTCCCTTTGATCTTTCTGTATCCAGATTGCCAAAGAAACCCGGGGCAAGTGGCTGGTTCGGGGACAGGGCAGAGGATGCACAGCTCCTAAAAAAGGCCGAGCAATAGCGGCGGGGCTGCCCTATGCTGTCACATCACGCGGGACACCAGCTCCACAGGTAAGTTAGGACGAGGGATTGCCTTTCATGAATGCAGATATTTGAAAATAACTAAAATTTAAAATAAATATAGCTACACCGTGCTGATGGCAACACTGCTTCTTGATATTAAACCCTCGTATTGTCTTATGGTCAGCTGCCAAGCATAAAGCATAAAGCATAAAGGAGCGCTACCTGCCAGCCTGCGCTTTTTGCTCTCACACGGGCATTCTTCATGTTCACTAGCAGAATGATTTTATGATACTGAAATGTGATCAAGCAGGGAGGCCTAACAATAATACATGTCAGCTCGTCCATCCAGCCTTTGATACTAGGCAGATTTTTTTACTACAACAAGTATCTTGCCTTCAGCCTGTTATCAGCCCTTTAATAAGAATAAGAATAAAACCCATCCAGGAAATCTTTTCATCTTACGCTACCATCTGATTCTAATATGGATGTGGAAAATTCTGGGACAGAAGCCAAATGTTAAATTTAATACCAAGGACTGTTATTTTAGTCCCATTTTATTTTCTGTGATAGCTCTTTTTCAGCTCTGATACAAAGTTACTGAGGAGAATCTGAGACAAGTATTACATGATGGGCAATACTATTTAGAGGTATAGAGAAATATTTAGTGAGATCTTTTCGTTATGACAAATGCAAAATCGCAACAAGATCTGGATATGTTCTAGGATTAATGCCACTCTTAATTTAATAAACATAATGGCATTTCAGGTAAAAGGAAAATGAGTTTTCTGTGCTCAGCACCCAAGCTGCTTTGAACACATTGCAAAAAAATTAAAGATGCCTTTTTTTAGCTACGTTTACTACAGACCCTCAATTATAATCTCCATTTGTCAGGAACTGCCTGAGGGAGGCAATGAGATTAGAGCAAAAGTTTCATTTATGCAGATCCTGCAGTTGCATTTGAGCTACATCTAGGATACTGAGACCTCAATTTTGCAAAAAATGTGAAGCTCTTCTTGCTTTAGGTGCATCTGATGCAGAGGTGCACATGCTTGTGTTAGGTATATGCTTCAGCTTAGCAAAACGAAGACTGCACTGTCAGAAATGGGAAGAAGCAGGGCTTGGGGGATCACCGGAGGGTGTTGAGGGTTTCCCTGGAGAAGGCAATTTGTGGTGCCATCACCTCCAGTGAGGACGTTGAGCGAAACACACGGTCTATGCCACAAAGTTCCAGGGCCACGCGCTGCGGAGATTTAGAGGCTGAAGTCTGGCTGCTCACGCTGAAGCCACCAAGTCCCTGAGGAAAGGGGAGCCAACAGCTTTGTACTGGAGAGCAAGCCAGCCTGGTGCAGAGCTGCTCTCCTGGGACTGTTGGCCAGCTTGCTGGCATGGCGCTTGGGACCATGAAAATCCCCTTTCTCCAGGCTGAAGGTGGGGAGGACACTCCATGCTGGTTTTGGAGCTGAAATCGACCCAGCAAAAGACCGGCAGCTCCTTCTATTCGAAGTTGCAGAAAAAAGGAATGCTCTTCTCACTGTCTCCAGCTCTCACTGGTCAAGGAAGCTCATCCACCCTAAGCCTTTATCCTAGTTGTCCCAGTTAAAAACCAGGAGATGTTGACAACTTCTGTCCTGTGTGGACATCTGTGCTTCCAGACCATTGCACAGACTGGGAGATATGACAGTGCTGGTGAGTGTGGACAGGAAACAGAACTGGATATAAATAAACAGTATCACAGATACGTACCAGACAAAACAGGGTAACCCAGATGCCAAAGCTATATATGGGGCAAAGGCAGCCAGTCGCTGCTTTTGCATTTCTTTTTCTTCAGGACCTCTCCAGCTTTAAGTAGGAGACTCCAAGAAGATGTTGCAACAAACAGGGGGGTGGAAAATGAACTCACCCCAGCTCTGTCCCGCTTGGCCCAAGTGGGAGGATGCAAGATAGGCCAGTGAAAATGAGCTTTGACTCAAAGACGTTTTTGGCTCTTGCTTTCTCATCACCATCTCTAGGTAATGAAAAAAGCTGAGATCATCTCTTAGGCTGTCTTGTGCCATGGGAAAATCTTTATCAGCATTGAGGAACTGACCTCCTGCTCTCCATGCTGCTGGAACACAGTGGGGAGCAAGCAAGCTTGGATCCAACACAGGACACAGCACCGAAAAGTGCTGAGGCATTTTTGGATGATCTGCAAAGTACCCATCATTCCTTAGAACCACCGGCAGCCCAAAGTGCCTTATACTTTTGTCCAAAGGACCCTTCTCCATGTAAGTATGACTTCTCTGTGCACGACCAAAAGCATCTGTTGCAGTTTCAGGGAGCCTTCTCCCAAATGCAATCAATACATTTTTGCATGATGCAACACAAAATCAATTTATTGGCTTTTGCTCTTTGCTGTGTAGAAGGGACTTTGATGGAAGTGATGTACCTGAATCCAAAGTGCTGAAAAAGTCTCAATCAGCTGCTCCTTAATCCTACAAGAACAACAACACAGGCAGTTCTGGAGGCAGCTGGAGAGCCAGGGATACAATGGCCCACCTCTTATCTAATAACTATCTAATAAATCTGCCCCTTGGGAAAGGATGATCTGGGGACTGGTCTCTGCTTCCAGTGCTGCCTCTGTATTTTATCCATTTAAATGACCATGTACATACTCAGTGGATAAGAAGACAGAAGCAGCCCTGGAAGCAGAGATGGGAATCCAGGTGTCTCTGAGCTGCACATCCTAATGCTGAGGAGCACAGTCATGCTACTCTTTATTCCCTTTCTCCTGATAAATCCTTCCAGCAAAAAATATGAAGATTTCCCTGGGAAGGGTCAAGAATGCTTCCCAGCCTCAAGAATGGAACCTGGTGGAGAGAAAACTCTCGTGGGAACCAAGGGGCATGCTGAAACAGAGCAAAATTGAATGCAAGAGCCCTTGGCAGAAGCAGGGCTAGGCAAATGTTTCAATTTTTATATAATCACATCAGAAACAGGTAGATGATTTTGGGCTTCAGACCCTGCAGAGCTGGAATGAGACTGTAAAA